TACAGTATCTTATAGTCCAACCCCCTTGAAATGAGGGCTGTGATGCCATTAGTCCTCCTGATTACCTGCTGCAGCTGTGTGCTAGCGTTCTGTGTTTCACACACAAGTACCTCTAAGTCTCTTTCTGTTGCAGCTTTCTGCAGTTTTTCTCCATTTAAATAATACTGTGTTTTTTTGTTCTCCCTTCTGAAATGAGCAACTTCATATTTTCCAATATTATACTCCATTTTCCAACATTTTGCCCACTTACTTAACCTATCATTATCTCTCTGTAACCTGTTTGTATACCCCTCACAACTTGCCTTTCCAATTTGTGTCATCTTCAAATTTTGCTACAGTATGTTCACTTCCTTCCTCCAAGTCATTAATATGGCTTATAAACAGTTGCAGTCCCAGCACTGATCCCTCTGGGACCTCACTGTTTACAGGTTGGCAACCTAAAAAATAACCCCTTATTCCCCTCTATCTGTCTCCTACTCATCAGCCAATTCTTTATACATGATAATGGGGGTGGCACAGTGGCTCAGTGGTTAGCACTGCTGCCCCGCAACACCAAGGACCTGGGTTCAATTCCACACTCAGGCGACTGTCTGTGTGGATTTTGCACGTTCTCCCTGTGTCTGCGTGGGTTTCCTCCGGGTACCATGGTTTCCTCCCACAGTCCAAAGAAGTGCAGTTTAGATGGATTGGCCATGCTAAATTGCCCGTAGTGGTCAGGGATGTGTAGCTTAGGTGGGTTATAAGGGGATGGGTTTGGGTGGGATGCTCCAAGGGTTGGTGTGGACTTGTTGGGCCAAAGGGCCTGTTTCCACACTGTAGGGATTCTATTTCTATGTCTGTAATCTGCTATGTCCAGCATTATGGACTTTTGTCCTATGTCATAACATTTCAGAAGGCATCTTGTTGAAAGCATTCTGGAAGTCCAAATACAGCACATCTACTGGTTCCCCTCTATTCCCTTTGGTTGAGACTTCCTCAAAAATCTCTAATAAATTAGTCAAACATGATTTCTCTTTAATGAAGTTATGCTGACTCTGCTTGATTAGATTCTGATTTTCTAAATATTCTATTATTACTTCTGTAATTAATTCCAACAATAGATGTTAGGCTAGTTGACCTATAGTTAATTGCCTCCCTCTTTCTTTGATTAGGGGTGTCAAATTGGTAATTTCCAGTCCTCTGGTACTTTTCCAGAATCTAATGATTTTTGGAAAATTGCAACCAATGCATACACTATTTCTGAAGTTACTTCTTTTAGGACACAAGCCATTAGGGCCAGGGGAATTGTCTGCCTTTAGCCCCATTAGTTTATCTAATATTACTTTTCTAGTGATGGTGATGGCACTTAATTCCTCCCCCGTATTCTTCAGTATTAATGGGATGTTCGAAGTATCTTCCACCGTAAAGACTGATGCAAAATGTATATTTAACTCCACTCCTATGTCCTTGTTCCCATAATTATCTCCAAAATTAATTTTCTAAGCGGCCTATGTTCACTTTGATTTCTCTCATCCTTTTTATATATTTGAAGAAGCTCCTCTTGTCAGTTTTTCAGTTTTTATATTCCTCATGAGTTTGTCCTAGTAGTTCATTTTTGCTGCCCTTATTATCTTTTTAGTCCTTCTTTGCTGACTTATGAATTGATCCCAATCTTTGGGGCTATCACTGACTCTTGCCTCCTTATATGGTTTTTATTTCAACTGAATTCTGTCCTTAATTTTCTTGGTCAGCCTTGGGTTGTAAACATCTGTGTTTAACTTATATACAGGGAATTACAATGAAATGAAAATATAATTAGCTAAAGAGAACTGGACAGATAGATTGGCATTTGATCAGTCTATTCCTATCTTAGAATCTTTCCTCCACAGTGGGATATATTTTTGCTGAGAGTCATTTTAGTGATTGGAATGAGGTCAGCCAGGTGGACCTCATCGAATATGAGTTCCCTGATTGGAGCTGTTAGGTTGCTCCAAACAGGGAACCCTGGCTGACAGATAAGAACAGGAATGTCAGGGGATCTGTTCACTCTTGAAGCCGGTTCTGAGTTAGCTGGATCAGTGTCATGTATTATACACATGTAAACAAAGGGTGACTTGGTGACAGGATACCAACCTTCATGGAGTTACTTCAGCGGCAACAAGAGCAACACACGACTCTGTAGAGATTCATTCACAACAGTTGTTGTGAGGTTGGGTTGGCATTGCTGGCATCATGCCACTATTTGGGAAGCTTGACTCGTTCGATCCTGCTGCCGAAGACTGGGTTCAGTATATGGAAATAATGCATTATTCTTTCTAGGCAAATGACATTGGGACAGATGAAAAGAAACAAGTAATTCTCCTGACAGCCTGTGGAATTGCAGCTTTTTTGATTTTAGGGGCCTGACTTACCCTGAGGCACCAGATACTAAAACCTGTGAATAGTTGATGGATTTAGCTGAGGAATATTACGGCTCCAAGCCTCTTCTAAATCTGAGACACTATCAGTTTTACCCGATAGTTCGAGAACCCCAGGGGATCTTTATCAGGATTTTTGATGAGGTTAAGATGACTGGCATGGGCATGTGATTTTGATTTAAACCGAAGTCAGATGCTGAGAGACCGTTTGGTATGTGGGATTAATGATGTGACCATGCAAAAGCTCTTACTAACTGAAGCCCAACTGGACTTCAAACTGGCACAACAATTGGCTTTGTCATTAGAAATGCAACAGGTGGAGCTTATGCGTTACAGGGTATTCCGATGGAAGTGGACATCCTTGCCAGGCCAGCTGAGCTTGGGGAACACCACTTGAGTGAAGGCAATTGATAGACTCACTCAGGACATATCCTGAACAGAGGCACTCTAGGTCAGCCCACTGCAAAATCCTAAAAAAAAGCCAAGCCTTAGCCAAATGGTTAAAATTTTCTTGAAGAGCCAGCCAGCAGGACATTGTAGTTGCTGCCAGTATGGGGACTCAAAACAGTAAAAGAACTCCTACTAGGCCTGAATTGAATAAGAGAGGCCAGTACCCAGGAAAGTACACATCCTGGAAAGTCCACCTACATCTGGCTTGGAACAGTTAAATTGCTTCATAATATCCAAATGGGAACCAATTAAAGTAAACATCTGGTTAAATGGAGGTTGATACCAGTGCAGCTGTATCAGTGATTGCAGAACCAATTTTTACGAAAATTCACTCTGGTCTCCAAACCTTAAGTTTGTATAAGACCTTGGCTAGACTGAGAACCTATACCAGGGAACCCCTACAGACTAAGGATATAACTTTGATTCTGTGGAGTTATTTCAGTCATGAATTACCTCCTTATATGTCCGCCACTGCTTTCTCACTGCCATTCCTGCTGCTTTATCTGTCCAGTTCCCTTTGGTTAACTCTATCCTTATTTTATTGTAATTCCCTTTGTATAAGTTAAAAGCAGTTGTTCATGACCCAGGTTTCTCACTCTTGAACTGACTATTAGATTCTATTGGTTATAATCACTGCATCCTAGGGGATCTTTTACTTTGAGGTAATTTATTAAAACTGCCTTTTAACCCAGTACCAGATTCAAGATAGCCTGTTCCCTGGTTGGCTCCATGATTCATTGCTGGAGGAAGAGGTTCTGAGAGCAGAACAAAATTCCATTGAATTTTGCGGCATAGAAACAGTCCAATCTGTCCAGTAGGCCTGTATCTGTAATTATGCTCTACACTAGTTTGCTCCCACCTTATTTTGTTTCAATTTATCAATATACCTCCAGTCCTTTCTCCCTCATGTTTTCATCTAGATTCTTTTTAAACTAATCTTATTCAATTAGTCCAAATGATTCTTATTAGTCATAAATTCCATATTCGCAACACTTGAACATGTTTCTCCTGAATTCCATATTATATATACCAATATCTCACGTTTCTGACCCTTTGTTTTGGAATTCCACTTAAATATTTGTCTGCATTTACTTCTTTTAAATTGTTCATATTTTTAAAGGGCTCTTTCAGGTATTTCTGAATATTTTCTAGAAAAATGAGCTCCAGCCTGATAAGCTTTTCCTGGCACAATTGCATCCTTTCATTTCTAGTATCAACTTCTGTACTTTCATAATGCTTGTACATACTTTATTTGACATTAGAATTGTACACCTATGTTGTCTGACCAACATTTTTATACTTTTGTCATCAATTGTCTCTGCTTTTGAATTCTGTTTCTTTAGAAATAAACCCCATGACTTTGTTCATATAGCTTTACTAACTAGTGTAGCTTTGGTTTTTAAGATCTTTGCCCCTTTTTCCTTTATGCTTCTACTCCTATTTAGACTCTTTGTCTTCCATGAATATCGTGGAATCCATACTCTTACAAAATGCGTCACTCTTTAGTAATCTGTATTGAAATTTGCATTTTATTTACACAACATTTTTCGGCTTTCTTAATGACATCTTCAGTCACAGTTTCCCTCAGCATTAATCAAGCCCCTAAATCTGCTGTTGTGCCTCTAATTCCAAGTTCACTACACTCTGTTTTCAGTTTTGTAGCCAATTTGTTTTCTGTTGGAGGTAGTAAGAACTGCAGATGCTGGAGTCAGAGATAACACAGTGTGGAGCTGGACGAACACACCAGGCCAGGCAGCATCAGAGGAGCAGGAAAGTTGATGTTTTGGGTTGGGACCCTTCTTCAGAAATTTCTGTTGTACTTTATTGAAACTGGTTTCTGCTTTTGACTAGCTGCTGCCACTCCTACTGTACAATATAACAAATTTTCTTAATATTTTTCTTGGAATTAGCCTTATCTTGCCTACCAGTTCACAGAGTACGTTCATGTTTGATTTGGCATTGATACTTTGATAGATAACATCTTGATTAACCATTACTCGATGATCATTAGCACATCTGAATCAAGGTTACACCATACTTCCATTTAACAAATATGGGGATGGACTTGTTTTTCAGAACTACAATCTGTGGTTCTAGGCTTTAGAGCACTTTACAATATTACCCCAAAGTCTAACACACATGTCTTGTCCATAGTATTTGTCGAAGAGACTGAGGATGGATACAATCATGTTTGGTTACCTTCAGACAACGTTTGCTGTTATCCAGCTCCTGGGAGGACCCTTGTTTGGCAGGTAAATGTCTTGGAACAGGATTCACCAGGATTAAACTTCTGTGAAACTTTCTTTTATGACATGGAGCTCCTCTACACAATGAATCCTGACCCTCTAAGAACTGCTCTTCAATTCGTCTCAATACTGTGAATCTCATAGACCTCCACTACATTATGTGCCTCAACCCTGGAACTCATGAACTCCTCACCATTGTATATCTAAACTCAAAGATTAATACCTGTATTCCAGTGGTCCATAAAATATTTTGCTTCCAGATTTATTACATCACTTCAGCTTTTCAAAGTCTCAGACTACTTCTTTTTTCCTTGGAAATTTGCTAATTTCATTCTGCCAAGTATTGCTCTATTGCCTTTGCTTTGGCACTTCTAAACTTAATTAAGCTACCATTAACTGTCAAATCATCTATTATCTTTGAAGTTCTGATCAAATCCATGATTGTAATCCATGATCATTAGTATTATGTTTGATGCTTCCATTCTTGCTTAAGACCTTCATATTTGCATCACTGCTTTTGAATACTTTTGGATTCTGTTATCAGTTATCACCTTGAATATCTCAAAACGTTTTGGCATCTTGGAAGTTTCAAATAGATTTCTAGCCTTTAGTCTTCCATCAGAATTATTTTCATGGTGATTTAACTTCCTTTTACATTATGCTATATGTTTATGGCTCATCTTATGATGGTATTTGGATAATGCTCAGTTCTCTCTCCACCTTCCTCATCTTGTCCACTCATTATCCAACCTATCCAATACAAATTTGTGCATGAAAAGTGGACAGTTCTGACAAAGCTTAATTAATTAATAACACTATATCTAAGTAGGTGGTGGGATGTCTTATTGAAATGCAATAATCCTCCACTGCTCCTACAATGTTTTAGGAAAGGAAATCCACAGTTTTACTGAAGATTCTAATCTAGGTTCAGAATATTTTCTTCCGAATACTTGCCTTCCACACAGGCAATCTCCCTTCCTCTCACAACCTAATCACTGAATTGCTAAGTGCCCATGAAAGTCACTGAAGCAATAACAGTATTATTTTGTTAAAATTCTATGACAGTTTATTTTATATAATTTAAAACGCTAATCAACAGCTATTATTGATATCTTTGATAGCTTCATGATTGCTCATCATCAAATATCGTCCTTCAGTATCTCAGTATGTCCTCTGATCTCAAATGGAATGCCTAATTCCACGATACAACTTATTAATAAAACTCTCTCCAGGAAACTTGGTTTTCTAATTTATGTCAAATACTTATTATTTCAACAATTTCTAACTGATTGTAAAGTTCAAGACTGCCTTAGATTTTAAATTGTGGGTACATATCAAGGAGAGTTCTTTAATGCATTGTTCACATTGTAATAAAACACTCAAAAAACTGGTTGTTTTATATATATTTTCTCTTACTTGCAGTGTTTGTACAATGTCACTGTATCATAATGGGACATACTTCTTTGAACATTCCTCTCTTCACTATAAGCTCCACATTTGTCATCCTCCTTACATACCCTTGTGTCTAAATCAAGCCTTTGCACCTTGTTTCGAGAATTTGTAAATTAGGATATTCTTATCTCCATCATTCTTCCTATCATGTAAAGACTACAGATTCTGGAATGTCAACCACTACTGCCCACTTTTACATAATTTGCCCCTTCCACCATACCACCCACCCAACTCAACTATGTCCAAGAAGGCGAATCGTATGCTAGAAAGATAATGGTATGTTGGTTTCATTGCGAGAGGATTTAAGTTCAGAAGTAGGAATGTCTTACAAAAGTTATGAGGGCATTTGTGAGATTCACCTGGAATATTGTGTGCAAATTTGACAGTCCTACTTAAGCGAAAATACACTTGCCGTAGACACAGAGCAACGTAGGTTCACTTGGCTGGTGCTTGGGATGGCAGGACTGTCTTATGAGCGGAGATTGGTTGTTGCTGCAGAGGTTGGGTGCAGTTTTCAACAAGTGTGCAGCTGAGTCATTTAACTGAAGTTAGCAATGATTAGGAAGAGTTCTGCCAGTGTGTGGCAGCATTGAGCTTCAGTTCTGAAAGTGGGTAAAAACAGTGCTGCACAGATGAAGTATGTAACGCCATCTATGAGCCAAATAATTCAATATTTCCATTTGTTTTATGCAGTATATGCTTTCTCCCCACACGAGGGTTCCAGAGGTTCTCAGTTTGGCATTTAAACATTGGAGCATGAAAAAGATTCTTTGTGATTTAGAAGTAGAATCACATTATTAAAGGCTTGAGGCAGTAAAATAAAATGCCAAGTCACTGCTGTCATTTTAATTTTGACTATAAAAAATTACACGCAAGTTTTCTTTTGAAAAAGTGACGCTTGATGTTATACATCAGAATACAAGCTCCTTCATTTACAAATCAGCATGAATATAATCATATAGGTAAAGTCAATCGCATAGCAATTGGATGTGGCAGATGAAGCCTGTAAGCAGTTTTTTTTGAGACAAACATTAAAGGGCACCTTGCCATGGTTCGTTTCTGTCTCCTTTGCTCATTTAACTGAATGAGCAATACTATTCTTTTCAGAGGCATAATTGCTGGTTCCAATTTGAAGACTTGTGCTGCTCAGTGGGATCAAATGCTGCAATGAGTTAATATTCTTTTCAACTAAAACACTTGGAGTCAACTTAAGACTAGACTAGAACATTATATTTTTCCTTCTGACTGTAGGATAAAGTAAGGTACCTGGATGTCGAGCAGATGAAGTAGGTACAGTGCCAGGTGAATAGAGCACCAGGTGGATGGGGAGGGTAGGGAGGCCGGTGAGTGAGGAGTGGAGAGTGCCAGGTAAGTACACGAGTGGTTGGGTTAGCTTAGAGGTGGAAGGGTGGTGGGGGGTTGGGGGGATATGTCAGTTCACTAAGGGGCAGAAGGACTGTAAGGTTCATGTGGCCGTTGAGTTGGGAGCTGGTGTTGGGTCAGATCTGGTTTGGCAGGTGATTGTTGGGTCTAGGGTGTGGTGAGGGTGTTCAATTGAGGAGGTGGTTGTAGGTCTATCAAGGCGAGGGGCATGTTGAGTTGCATCTGTTGGAGATGTCAGCTCAGAGTGTGAGGAGGAGGGAGTTTCAGGGGTGTCAGGTTAGAGAGGTGTTGAGGTCGGGCGTGTAACTGGGGACTGTCAGTAGTTCACTCTGATAGTATCCCAGGAGTTAGAGTAGATTTTTAATTCTGTAACTTCTCCTGGGTGACTATTAAACTTAGGTGTTAGAATCTTCTAAATTCTCTGATTTTGGGGAGCTTTCTCAGAGGGTTGCAGATGAAGGGAAGTTGCCAATCGGAATTTTCAATTTCCTGGGCAGTTCCCTCAAAGTCAGTTGCAATGGGAATTCTGCATGTTCCCAAACGCAACTTACCTCTGCACTGCTACAACTATGTGCTTTGGAATATCTAGGCCTGTGTTTCCAAATGTAAGTAAAGGCAATCTGAAGTCCTGATGGTAACCTCTGACTGAGGTTTGATGGCAGTTACGCAGAGATTGATCTCTGTTAAGGTCCTTAGTCCCTCTTGGTGGAAACAGAGGAACACGGAACTGATAGGAGACTGCACATCAAAATATAATTGTAAATACTTTGTTGCAGCAGGTCCACTTGATGGTAAGACTATTACTTATTTTTCAGTTGTCTGGTTCTTAAGATATTTATCATCTCTAACACTAGCTTCTAAAGTGTCCGTTTGTTTTTGAAACTTTTATTGGCATGACCTGGCAATGATCTTCAAAACAATCATATATGACTTTGTTATCTTGACTAAACTGTGGTCTTCAAGTGGAATTTTGGTAAGAGGACACTTTCCATTTTAAATGTAGCTGTTTTGCAAACTGACATAAAAGTGTGCATTTTCTTAATTGTCACAGGATTAAAGCTGTGTTTTTGTTGCACTAAAGTATTTCTACCTTTTGATTATCTTAGCTGCTCTCTATTGAGAGATGCTTGGAAATTTGTCTAACTGTTCTGTGCTTTCCCACAGTTGTCACTGTAGTTATGTATGTCTGTTAATTTAATTACAGGAATCTTTGATAGAGTATTCTTCTTTTTACTGCTGATAGGTTTGGTGATTTATTTGGGGGGCGTGCTGCCCTATCGCTGGCGTACCTCTCCTCGGGGTTTGCCTACCTTCTGTTGGGTCTTTCGACGAGTGTGCCACTACTTTTCCTTTCCAGAGTGCCCACAGTCTTCATGCATGGGATGCAAGGTACATGTATGGTACTTTTTCTCATCTTTCCTTTTCTTGACTTGTTACTTCTGTGACCGATTTTAAAATGTATTTATTTCCTTTTAAACTCTCCCAGCTGCTCAGATGATTGTGACTGATCTGTCTTCAGAGTCAGAACGGGCAGATGCCCTGGGGAAGCTTGGTCTGTCATATGGTGTGGGGATGATCATTGGCTCTACAACTGGTGGTTTGCTGATCTCTAATTATGGGTAAGTACCGAAGGGTATGTCGGTATGTGCAACAGGCTTCAACCCAGCAGCCAAAACACTCACTCTCAATTCTCTCATCATTCATGTCCTTGTTGTCCAACTCTTGGAAAGTCTATATGTGGTGGTCGCACACAGACCCAATTGGGCTCAGTTGTGATCTCCTCCAACCTGAATGACCTGCTAATGTCAGCCTCATTCCTTAAACAAAATCAGACCTGTGGGGGAAATAAAGAAAAAAAATTTGGAATGAGGCAAGTTTACAACTTTATTTTCAAAATCCAAAGGTATAGCGTTAACTTATTGAAGCACTGATTTTAATTTGTAATTTGTGTGTGAAATCTTTTCCATATCAATTTTATACGAGCATCTTCTTTCTTCTTCCACTGAAGGTGTTGATTTCTTGATGGAGTATATTTCTATGGATCTTTAGTCCCAACTTGTGCATGTACCTAAATAATGTGGTTTAGCAAGTTATTCGTAGTGAAATGATAGCAGGAAGAGGCTAATGCCCAGAACCAGTCTGCCTGTTGTGGGTTTATGCACTTTTCAGCAGTGTGCAAGGGTGACTCACCAGTGTGACAAACTGATCAAGAATTCTTGATACATTCCCAATCACAACTGCATTGATTCAGTTTATCCCTTGTGCTCGTACAAATGTACTTTCCATTAAAATTTAACAGGAGAAAAGCATGGCCTGCTCTCATATAGTGTAACCAATGAAGCTCATTTGCAAATTCAGCATTCAGTTTATAAAAATTGTACCCAGGCTAATAAATGTACAGGTCCTTTAAGTTAAGTTGGCTTCTGGATCAGACCTTATACTCAACTGAGAGTTTTTGCACCCAAAGCAATTCTAATTTGTGTTCACCTAAGAGTTTGATGTGCCAAATTGGTTTAAACATATTAGATTTAATTTCTCACTCAAAATTTAGATTGTGCATTCCTTGTATAGCTTTGACTTTCCCTACTTTTCCTAACTGTATGTGCCTGACAAAGGCATGTTTTGTATCCAATAGAGAAAACAGTTTGTTTATGATACTGAATCCGGTTTAAGATGAAAATGCTGCCATTGTTGAATGTGTAATGATTCAATTCTATTACAATTTAATAACTTCCCTACTTCAGTGATATCCATTTTCTCTCTCTCAAGGCCACAGCACCATACTGAACATAAAACCACTCTGTTGGAGACCTACAGTGACCTCATATCTTCTGGAGATCTTCCCTTTACTGCCCAACTTCATAGTTCCCCAATCCCACAGAGTGTGCTTCTACCTCCTTTCCAAAATCCATAAACAGGACTGCCCTGGCTGCCTCATTATTTCACTCTGTTCCTGCCTGACTGAACTTACTTCTTCCTATTGCAGCTGCAAATATTTTTCTTGTCTTGTAAGGTCTGTTCTTATGTACATCTGTGACTCTTTTGATGTCCTATGTCATTTCAACAATTTCCAGATCCTAACCCTAACTATCACCACCTCACTATGGATGTCTATTCCCTCGACCTCCATTCCCCACAAGGACAATCTCAAAGCTCTCTGCTTCTTCCTTGAATGAAGCCCAACCAATCCATTTCATCTACCACTCACATTGCCTGGCCAAGGTTGTTCTCACTCTGAACAACTTCTGACTTTCTTCAAATATAATGTTTCACCATGGGTCCCAGATACCTTTCTTTGTCTGAGACAGTTAAACATTAATTATTCCAGTGCTACTCCAGTACCCTTCTTTCCTTTTTCCAGTACATTGATGACTGCATCCGTGTCACTCTTTGCTCTCATCATGAAGTAAAAATTTGATTTTTGTTTATAATCATCACCCTTCTAACACCTTCATCTGATTCATCTTTGACTCCTCTCTTCTCTTCTGCAACATTTCTTTCTCCCCTTTAAAAATAGGCTGTAGCCTAATGTTAAGTACAAATCTTTGCTCTCCCACAGCTGTCTTAACTGCACTACTTCACACCCAGCTTTCTGTAAGAAGTCCATTCCATTCTCCTAGTTTCTCCATCTCTTTGTTTCTATTTAGCTGATGCAAGCATTCTCATCAGCAGTTCCAAAATGTCTCCCTTTTTCCTTAACTGAGAACTCCCAGCCAAGATGATGGACAGGGCATGGTGGCTCAGTGGTTAGCACTGCTGCCTCACAGAGTCAGGGACCTGGGTTCTATACCCTCCTCTGATGACCTCTGTGTGGAATTTGCACATTCTCCCCGTGTCTGTGTGGGTTTCCTTCTGGTGTTCTAGTTTCCTCCCACAGTCCAAAGATGTGCAGGTTTGGTGGATTGGCCATGCTAAGTTGCCCATAGTGTCCAGGAATGTGCAGACCAGGTGGATTAGCCATAGGAATGCAGGATTGCAGGGATAGGTTAGGGGAATGGGCCTGAGTAAGATGGTCTTTGGAGGGTCGAATGATCTTCTTCCACACTGTAGGGATGCTATGAAAATGATCCATCTCACACACTTCTGTCCTCATGTCTGCTCCATCCTCCCAGAACTATTATTATGTTCGCCTTGAGCTCACTTTCACCCTACTAGCCTCTACTCCATGGATTATCCTCCTCTATTTCTGCCCATTCCAGCAAGATGTCAGCATGAATGCTCTGTAAAGAACATTCTCTCCTTGACAGTCAGGTTCATCTCTGTCACCTGTAACACCCGCTCCCTTCCATACAGCACCTTTTGAAGCAAATGTAAGAGATGCAGCACCTGACTTTATACCTCCTCCATTCTTAGTTCAAGGCCTCAAGCACTAGTTCCATGTTCAACAATGATTTTCCTTTATTCATTAACGGGATGAGGACTTCACTGGCTAGGCAGCATTTATTGTCCATCCCTAATTGCCTAGAGGGCAGTTCAGAGTCAACCACATTGCTGTGGGTCTAGAGTCACATGTAGGCCAGGTAAGGATGACAGTTTCCTCTCCTAAAGGACATTAGCGAACCAGGTGGATTTTTTCCAACAATCGGCAATGCATTCATGGTCATCATTTGATTCTTAATTCCAGGTATTTTATTGATTTCAAATTCCACCATCTGCCGTGGTGGGATTCAAACCTGGGTCTCCAGAATGTTATCCAGGCCTCTGGATTAACACTCCAGCAATAATACCACCAGGCCATTGCCTCCCCTGCATTTTTTTTTTTAACTTATTTCAATTTAGTTTATTGTATTTACATTTTCAATGTGGTTTCTACATTTGGAAGGCTGTACCCTGACTGGGTGATCACTTTACGGAATCCGTCCATTCAGTCTGCAAGCATGACCCTGAGCTTCCAGTTGCTTGTTGTTTTAATTTCCCCCATCATTTTCTCATGTTGACCCCTCCATTCATGTCTTGCTACAGTTTCACTAAAGCCCGACACAAGCCTTATCTTTAACTTAGCACTCTGCATTCTCTGGACTCAACACTGAGTTCAACAACTTGAAACCATAATCTCTGCCTTTGCCGTGTTCTCTGAGTATTTTTCATCTTAATTTTGCAGCGTTGGCTTTGATTTGTATGGGGGTCCTTGATACAAATTGGGATTAGATACTAGAAAAGTTCAAGTTATTTTTCCCCATTAGAATAATGTAAATTGGAACTGTAAATCATTAAAGTCACTTATTCGACTCTTAAGGCAATTTCTCCCAGAAGAAACAATGGAATGAGGTAAGGATTAGGGACTGTTGCTTAGGGAAATGTTGTGTTTCATACCTAGCAACCAAAATAAGTATTATATGTACTATACTTCCTAATATCCACGTGTGCAACTGTCGCTGGTAACAAGGATCTCAAGGATTGGTGAAAGTGTTAAGCCTGGTTTTCCAAATCCAATTTGATTGATTTCCTTCAATCCAAGTCACAAAGTCACAAATTCAAACACACAAGCATCATCTACTCAAAAATAAATCCATGGTAGATTTCTCTCTCCTCATGCAAGAGAAAGAGGAAATTGTTTCAACACAGTATTGCAGATTTAGCAGCAGCCTTTTACAATCTTCTGCATGCTTCCACTCATCATTACCGCAAGTTTCTTACACCTGTTTTTGTGGCCATACTTCAGCCTTGCCCTCCCATATAGTGATTTGGATTTCTGTTGCACAGTGGCTTGAATCTACCCCTGATGATTCTGGCCTATCTGTCTTACAATGGTTCTGACCTACATTGGCGGCTCTCAGCTCTGCATTTTCCCTCGTTCTGACCTGCCTGTCATATCAAAGTTCTGACTATGTTTAGTAAAAACTGAAAAAATACTGCAGATGCTATGAATCAGAAACAAAAACAGAAATTTCTGGAGTAGCTCAACAGGGCTGGCTGCGGAGAGAAATCGGAGTTAGTGTTTCAGGTTGGAAAGGTCACTTGACCTGAAACGTTAACTCTGATTTCTCTCCACAGATGTTGCCAGACCTGTTGAACTTTTCCAGTAATTTCTGTTTTTGTTTCTGACTATTTTTGCCACTTTGTACCCGGCATGCTTTGATCACTAAGCACTGAGTATCAAGGCATGATTCTTTGACCCGGAGAGGGGAGGGGGGTCTGCAATATACGTGCAAGTAATGAGTTGTGCTGTACGTCATGACACAATGACATGAATCCCTATTGTATGCAGAGGTAGAAAACTCAATTGGCATGTTGGTTGGGATGCTGTGGTTGTCTTTAGAGTCTGAGTTAAAGATTATGATTCTATTTTTGATAACTGTCCAGTGATGTGCATGTGTACCATGTAAGGAACATGGTCCCCATTAACATGTGGCATTGCCAGTACTGACTATCTAGAGGTCCATGCGAAGACTGGCCACTGATACTGAATGCGGTTGCGTCAATGAAAAAATATTTTAGGAAGAACCAGTGCTACAGGACGGAAGGAAATTGCAAATCAAAATGCATGCTGGTTCCATTTTAAAGTAGGCCAGAATCTGAGCATTAGGAAGATATTGTAATATGTGATTACAGTGTAGAATTGTTGTTTGATTTGGTCGTCTTTTCCAATTAACTTCCCTGTCCTTCTGTAGCAATAGGC